CGCCGGGGACCCCGCTGCAAACCCGGTGGTCCCGCTAACTACCGCCCCCCCCGGAGAGTCCAAGCGCTAGAATCCCCCCAACCTGGCCTACGTCACCCCACTTACCCATGGAAGTGGAACTCTCCGGCACCCTGACCTGCGGGTCCCCGGCGGCGACGTCCGCGGCGGATAGCAGAACGATAGGCACTGCTCCCTCAGAGCCCCCGAGCGCAGTCCAAGATGGCGGCCACCTGCGCCCCTTCCCCGAGACCCCGCCGCTCGCTTCCCAGAAGCCCTTGCTATCCGCGGCGGCCGCGGCGGTGGAGGCGGCAGGGGGCGTGGCTATAGAAGGGGAGGCGTGGCTCCGATTGTGGGCGGGGCGGAGAAAAGCGCGCTGTGTGTGGAGACCTCTCCTACCGCTTAGCTCCTCTCTCACTTTTTCAGTTCAGTTTCTCATTCCCAGTAGCGAGGCCGTCACGGATCCTCTGCGTACCCACAAGGAATGAGTTCTCATCGGGTCACCAATTCATCCGTCCGTCAGTCTGTCCTACAGTGCAGTGCTGATTGAGAAGTCTAATCTTTGACACGCACCTTTTTGGAGAGGGGGTAATCCAACAGTCCAAGACACCTGGTAAAAATTTTTGGTGGAGTGTGAATGGCTTGATTTTGGTTGGCCTCTCAGGTGGTTACTGCTCATTCTAGCTTCCAGAATTTGTAAGCACTCGTTAGTTGTTTATTTTTATTTATTTATTGGGTCCAGTCGTGGGGCCTGAACTCTGGGCCTGGGCGCTGTCCCTCAGCAATTCAGCTAAAAGCTAGCGCTTTACCACTTAAGCCACAGCACCACTTGTGGCTTTTTCCACTTATGTGGTGCTGAGGAATCCGAACCCAGGGCCTCAGGCATGCAAGGCAAGTACTCTACCACTGAGCCACCTTCCCAGCCCTATTTTTGTTCTTATACTGTTATTTTAGTAGATTGTTGAGAAGCAAAGAAATACAAATGTCCTGTTCAGTGTTCCGTGTTTAACCATAAACCCACAGAATAATTTGCTGTTCTTGAAACAGGGTCTTGACCTATGACTCAGGTCAACCTGGAACTCATGATCAAACAGTCCTGCCTCAGTCTCCTGACCTTATATTGCACATCCATCAGATCATGCCATTCTTCTGTTTAGATATTCAGTAGTATTCTAGAAGGTCCTAGGTGATTTGACTAGTGTCTATAACTCTGACCTAATTTTATAATCACTCTTCCCCTTCTCCCTAATATTATATTCTGTTGACTACTTGTTCTTTTTTGAGTCATCTAAGTCTGCCTTCCTATTGTTTTAGCTAAATGAAATGTTGCAAGATTTATTCATCAGCTCCTTTACCTCCACAACAAGACTTTTTCTAATAACGCTAGTTTTATCTTTAACTCAGTTTTGCTTTATAGCTTTTTTTTTCTTTTTCTTTTTGTCGGTCGTGGGGCCTGAACTCTGGGCCTGGGCACTGTCCTCAGCTCTTCAGCTCAAAGCTAGGTCCCCACCACTTGAGCTACAGCGCCACTTCCGGCTTATTTCTGCTTATGTGTGCTGAAGAATCGAACCCAGGGCCTCATGGTAAGGCAAGCACTCTACCACTGAGTCATCTTCCCAGACCTTTATCACTAGTTTCTTTTCACTATCTCACAAGCTTTGGGGCTGGGGGTTTAGCCCAGCAGAAGGGCGCGCAAGGCCCTGGGTTCGGTTCTCAGCTCTGGAAGAAAAAAAAAAAGCTACGAGAATGTAAGCTTCAAAAGTTCTGTATTTTGGTTACTATCGCAGCTCCAGTGCCAAGCATAATGGTTCTTATGGGCGATCTTTACTGTTGAATAAATAACAACTGGGAGAGAAATATAAATATGTACATATGATCTTGTAACCTTGAAAAAAATGACTTGTCTTAGTTATTTTGAATCTATAGAACTTAATTTGGGCTTGACATGTTGTAATTATGTAACTCCTCTACTAATACAAAGAATAGCCTGTAACTCAATAAAGCTCTAAATAAAGAAGTATAGACACATTTGCCCTAGCATCGGGCCTTATGAAGTTTCTCAGACCTTAACATTTTCTGGATCTGAGCCGGGCACTGGTGGCTCACGCCTGTAATCCTAGTTACTTAGGAGGCTGAGGTCTGAGGATCATGGTTCAAAGCCAGCCTGGGCAGGAAAGTCCTTGAGACTCATCTCCAGTTACCACCAGAAAGCCGGAAGTGGTGCTGTGGCTGTGGTAAAGCGGTAGTCTTGAGCTCTGGTTCAAGCCCCAGGACCAGCAACAAAATAAAAACAAAATTCTGGGTCTAGTTTGTCTAGTAGTAAACCAGGAGGGAGAAGAAGTGTGGGGGGGGGGGGGGAGGGAAGCGCGAAAGAGATGAATAAAAAAGACTACAACTCCCAGAATGCACTACAGACCCGCGTGGAGCAGGGCATGCTGGGATTCCTTTCCTTCCAGGGCTGGAAGTGCTTTGTGTTTTTGAGTCTTCGTTTCATTTCGCGGTCAGCTGTATTTTGAGTGCGTGGCGGTCGTCTTTCTCGTCTGGAGAGGGGCTGGGCGCCACGCTCGGACTCCTCTGCCTACGAGGCCGCGGCGATTGCGGCGGCGGGACCCGGAGCGGGTGGAGTGCAGCACGGTGTCGGAGCCGCTCGGTTTCCGGGTGGGTGGACGCCGACGGTGGCGTCTTGGTTCCCGGGCTTCGAGCTCCGGCTCTGGGACGCGTCTGAACTGTCTCTCGTGTCCTCGCTCGGGACGTTGGGGCCCACTCGGGACGTTGGGGCCTACCCAGGCCCGGCTGCGCGCCTTCCGGCCCTCCCCACCCCCTCCGGGCCCCGCACCTGCTACCGGCCTAGGCCGATTTCCCTCTCGCTGCGGAGGCCCTCGGGGTCTGGAGGTCTCCTCTCCGAGAAGAGGAGACACTGGGGAGTCGAGACACCGCCCTTGTAGAAGTAGAAACTAGTTTTTACCTGTCTGGAGAGAAAGGAGGAGCAGAAGGACAGCAATGTAGGGAGGTTTTGTAAAGCTAAGTTTTTCTGTAAACGGAGGGAACAACGTTCTCTGTTCTTGTGTGGGTTTTTTTCCCGAAGTACTTAGCTGAACGGTGTAGGAGAGTGGTGGTTGTGATTGCTTCTCTTGTTTTTCACCTTCATGTTACTAGCCCCTAAAGTCTACAAGAGATTGGCCAACCTAATGTAACCCATTTTGTAGACTGACACTGGAAGAGATGAGAAAGCCAGAGTGATAGGACCTGAGGCCCGAAGTCGGTTATCTAGGCTAGGAAGTGCTGTTTCCTACTGTTGGTGTGCTTTCGGCTGAGAGTACAAGCTGTGGAGCAGACTGTACTAGCACTTTGAATACCACCATTTTCTGAGATCGATTAGCGCCAGGGTTTCCTTATGTGTGGACTGATAGAGTAGTCTTTATTAAACGTGTAAAGCTGTTGAAGTGTTATTAGTGTTGATTCTCACATTAGGACATATTTATACTCCCTCACAGTTTAATAAGTTTTAAAGTATTTTATGCGACTTAGTAGCTGGGCACGTATTTTTTTTTAAATCTATCTATCTTACACTGTGTGTGTGGGGGGGGGGGGGTCGAACCTAAGGACTCAAGTTTGCTTCTCTTCTGTAGTTGAGCCCCAATTACCTCTCTACCACTTGAGCTGTGCCTCCAGCCCTGCTTTTTGCTGGAAACAGAGAAGTCTAGCAGACTTTTCTGTCCAGGCCGGCCTTGAACTGTAATCTTCTGAATCTCAACCTCTTGATTATAGCCATGAGATTGGCTGGATAGCTTTTTAAACATAATTCTTTCTTATTTTTAAATATTTCATCCTTCACGTTATTTTGTTTTATTGCTTGCACTGAATTCTTGAAATTATAAATATGGACATGAGGTACAGGTTAAGTGTTCCTTATTTAAAATGCGCAGCATCAGAAATATTTCTAATTTTTGAATTTTTTTTACAATTTTGGAGTGCTTATGTATGCATAATAAGATGTTTTGGGGATGAGACAATTCTAAACACAAAGTTCACTTTTGTGTCATATGTAGTGCACATAGCCCAAAGGTGAATTTATACACTGTTTTCAGTATGCCTGTGTTTTGACTGCCACCTTTTACGTGAGGTCAGATACTGAATTTTCTAGTTGTGGCATGTCAGCCCTTAAACTTCTCAAATTTTGAGAAGTGCAGATGTGGCTCAGATGGTAGAGCTCCAACTTTGAGCAAAAAATTTAAGAGAGAGCAAGGCCCTGAGTGTAAGCCCCAGGACCAGCATCAAAAACACAAAACAAAGATGTTCAGATTTTGAAGCATTTGGAGTATGAGTGTTTTATCATTCTGATAAAATTTTGTTTGAGATTTATAAAGTTGTATATTTTGGAACAGTAAATACACTGGAAATTTTTCCACTAAAATACAACAGTACCAAAGAATTGTCATATCATTTTGTGAAATGTATTTTCCTTTAAATCCTGGCTTTGAAACTTAAAAATGATATTGTGTTCTTTTCTAGCTACCATGCTTTGCTGTGATATTTGTGGTGAAACAGTAGCTTCAGAACCTGATATGAAGACTCACCTCCTAATTGTTCACATGGAAAATGAAATTACTTGTCCGTTTTGCAAGTTGTCGGGGGTAAATTATGATGAGATATGTTTTCATATTGAAACAGCTCATTTTGAGCAGAATACAGTAGAAGGAAATTTTGAGAGGACAGACACAACACAGTTTGGGATTTCAGATAACAAGGACAATACCCTACAGAGTACTGGGGAAGTTAATTCAAGTGATCATTCGGCATGTGCATCTAACCCTCCAAAAAGTTCAGCGCAAAGCCTGCCTAAAGATGTTCCTTTAAAACAGGAAGCCTTTTACTCAGAAAACTTAACAGAATCTAGAAAAATGCTGAAAAGCAGGGAAAAGCAGTCTGGATTGTCTGAAATAAAAGGATCAACTTATGAAGCAGTGTATAGTCTTCCTGACTGTCCATTTTGTGGCAAAGTAGAGGCATGTAGTGACGATATGGAAATCCACATGAAAACAAAACATGCCAATGTTTTGGAAGGTTGAGTATTTATTATAAATAATTATAACTAACAGTCTCCTCAGTATGTGGTCTCCTAGAAGTTGTGTTTTTTTTTAAAGTCAGATGGCTGTAAATATGCTTTAAAATCCAGCTCATGTCCATAACATTGCTTATTTGCAATTACTGCAATATAAAAATACAATTATGAAAAAAATATTGATGCAGATACAAAATGTTTTAACTACATTTAAAATAATTGCAGAAATGTCCTAATTTTCAGAGGATAAACTTCTATTCAGTTAGTGAATTCTGGTTTGACTCTGTTATGGTCAGGGAATTATATCATGTATAATAACTCCTTTGAATCTATGGAGCCTTGTTTTGTAGCTAAAGTTATTAATGATCTATCTTGGTATATCTCCTGGGTTCTTGAAATAAGTAAAAAGTATATTCTGCTTTGTTGGGTAGAATTCTGTATGTGTCAGATAGATTGTGTTGTTTTATGTTCAGATTATTTTCCTTGCTCAATTCTTATCTAGTAGTTCTGTCAGTTTTTGAGAAGAAATTGTTGAAATCTCCATTTGTAATGATGAATTTGTTTTTTCTTCCAGCTCTTATATTTGAGTTTTAAGAGTTCTTTGGGTATTTTTGATACAAATTTTTTATCAGACTCGTGTTTTGCAAATACTTTCTCCAGTATATGTATATGACTGATATTTTTGCTTTTTATACAGTACAAGTTTGGTTTTTGTTTTTTGCTGGTCCTGTGGCTTGACCTCTTTTGCCACTGTCCCTGAGCTTCTTTTACTCAAGGCTAGCACTCTATCTCTTAAGTCACAGTGCCACTTCTGGGATTCACACAGTCTCAACAGATTTTCATGCCAGAGCTAGCTTTGAACCATGATCCTCAGATCTCAGTCCCCTGAGAACAGGATTACAGGTGTGAGCCACCAGCACCCAGCTTACAGTAGACATTTTTTAATTTTTATGCAACACATCTTTATTTCATCTTTGTGGGTCATGCTTTTGGTATTGTATCTGAAAACTCTACCAATTCTAAAAGTTTTAGAGATTTGCATTTAGCTTAACTCATTTGAATTAAATTTTGCAAGACTTTTTTTTTTTTTTGTAAAAGACATAAAGTTGGTGTTTAGGTTCTTTTTTAATGCTGTTCCCTGACTGTAAGTGAAATGTCTTTTTCAGTTAATTTCCTCTGTTGTATATGCCATATATTTTGTCTGTTTTCTATGTCATGTGCTTTTTCAATTGCTTCTATTTTTGTTCACATATGTTGACTTCTGTTGTTTTTTAAATATTTTTCCAGTATAATCCTTAACTTCAGCTTAATCCATAGGTTATTGCTTACTTCACTTTTATGCAGGACTTAAATTTTGTTTTCTGTTTATTATCTAAAGCAGAGTTCTGGACTTTTGAGGGCCTAAAGCACTCTCACATTTTCTTGAAAATGTTTATGTTCTCCTTTTCATATTTATTTTATTCTATTTAAATTGTGTGTATCTGTATACTGGGCTTAACACTGACTTTTTTGTATTTTAGAAGTTTTTACATCTCTCTGTGGACCAGTTTCCTAATCTTAATTTTTATTTAGTTGGCTATTATTCATTGTCTTACTTTTAATAGCCATAATTTTGTAACATACCATTAATATCAGACAGGGAAGTTCTTCCCTTTTTCTTCATTTTCAGTATTAACTGACAAGTTCACTTTATGGTTTTGCTTGAGTTTTAGAAAAATTTTTCAAGTCCTATGAGAATATTGTTGAAATATTACTTGATATTAGATCAGGATATATCTTCACAGTAATCCATCAAGGTGGCATGAATTTTTATTTTCTTTAGAAATTGTGTTAGTTTTATTCCTATGTAGATTATAGTTTCTATTGCTTATGAGTTGGATGTTTTATCTAATTAACTCTTGCAAGTTTGTTGACATACTATCAAATTTAGTTTATAACTATATCTAGTCTTATTTCTAATTTGTTGTTCATTGATCCCATCAGTTTTCTAAGTAGATGCTGTTAATGACTGCTATTATGGGCTAGTACAACAATTCCCACTGTTGAGAAATGCTTGATACCAAACTATTGGCACACTATTTTGAAAGTTTCTCAGTGTCAAGTATGTCAGTTATAATAGTATCAGGAGTCTGCATGTTTAGTTGAATAAGTAAATACTTGTTGTCATTAGAGGTACAAAAATCGAATGGAGTGGGTTTTAACTAATGCTTATATACAGTATATGGAGCAAGGCATTTTATAGATATTGAAGGTATTTTATCTAGTTGTTTTATTTATTTTCTCCACAGGGAACACGTGGAATCTAGACTGAAAAACAATCATGAGGGAGATGGATGAATGACAAAACTTTTAGGATCAACTTATGTATTCTATATCATAGGTTTTAATTAAGCTAGATACTTTATAGTTGTAAAATACACAAAAAATATGATGAAGATTGTTTGAAATAGACTATTTCAGAGATTGGTCAGCTAATACTGATGATAATCAAGAATAAAATAATGTTACTGAGTGTCTAAGTTAGGGTGAAGGGAAAGGATTGTTGGAAGTAAAAGCAAAGAACCACCTCACTGGCATATTGAAGTAGCTAAAAATGATCACAGTGTAAGGACTTTGGATTCGGGTGCTGAAATCTTTGTAAATGAAAGAAAGTGTCCACCATTTCAGAAAATCCTAGCCACCAAGAAGGGGAATAGGATGCTATAGTCTAGTGACATAAGTTTTTGAAGAAGAAAAAAGAAAACTTACTTGAAAGTGCTAAAAGGAAGCATAGTTGACATCTCTTCTATTTCTAGGGTCCTGAATTGCATATGTATTATGAAGCTTTCTTATCTCGTGTCAAAATAAATCAGCTTTCTTCTGCCTCTTAATACAGATCAACCACTCTATGACTGTCCTATGTGTGGGCTCCTTTGTACAAATTACAGTATTCTCCAGGAACATGTCAACTTGCATTTAGAAGAAAGCACCTATAGACAAGGTATGTTTATGCATTTGAAGTTAAAAATACCTTATTTAATTTCTACTTCTTGCGTTTTTCTCTGGAGCAACAATATATAATTTGAGAGAACTCCTTTATCAGATAGAAATAACTCAGCTTCAGCTTAGTATTTAGCCAGTAAAACTGCTAAACTAGGAAGTTGCCAATGAGACTTAAAATTTTTTAATTGCACATGAAGTATACAGATTCTATTTTGTTTGTTTTTGAAGGTGTATAGATAATCCTAGCAATGCAAGGGTCTTTAGCATTTAATATCAGTGATCTAATACCAGTATCAGTGATCTCCATGCACATTACCTGCTTGCCCAACCTAACCCCAAGAGAAGAATTACTGGAGCAAAGAGAGAATAGTCTACTTTGAATGTCTCCTACTTAACTCCATTTGGTCTTCTACATTCCTTTGGGAAAATTGCAAGGAAGTAGGTAGAAGCTCTTCCTTCTTGCTCAGAGTATGATTGGCTTTATATGTATATTATACTGTAAGCCTGTAGTAGGTTGTGAAGAAAGATATGGTCCCAGCACATCACTACATATAGCCTCAGGGTATGGGAGGAAATAAACAAATTTTGGATTACATGCCTTGAGATTTAGTGGAAAGAGGACCAAATGGGAAGATGTGGCATCAGGTGAGAGATTTGAGAAGGAAAACTATTTGGTTGCTTAATTAAACGACCAGTTTGGAGGCTGGATATAACTTGTCTGTTTTGAGGAATGCCAGGAAAACAGATAAAGTATTGCTTGTGGGTGTGCCTCAGTGAGGATGTTTCCAGAAGAAATTGGTCAGTAAACTGATTGGGGAAGACCTTTCCTAGATGTGGGCAGGTCTTATCCAATTAAGTTGAAAGTACAGGGAGACCAGGAAAGGCTAAGTAGGTGCAGACTCACTTTGGCTCTTCCTTTTTGATTGGAACCTATTTCTCTTGCTGCCCCCCTGGTAATCAGATTCTTCATTCATCCTTTTTACTCAGGGACTTGCATAGTTGGTCCTTCTTCCAGGACTCTTGAGCCTTTGGACTTAAACTAAGGCTGCCACCCTTACTTTCCTAGCCCTGGGCCTCCAGTTACTTGAACCTCACGATTGGTTTCTTTGTCTAGGCTTCAGATGACCTATCGAAGAATCTATCTCCTCATGATGTATACACAGTTCTTCCCCCACTCTCTCTTCTTCCCTCACATCTCCCCTACCTCCTCTCTGTTCAGTTTCTCCGTAGGTTCTTGACTAATATAGATATGAGGGAGAGAAGATACAAGCCAGAAGGCACTGATCCTGAAGGCCACTGGGAGAGAGGAAGCAGGGCAGGATGTTGTACAGTTACACAATTTGTTTGAGGCTAAAAGTATTTACCACCTGTACTTTACAAATGTATACTTTTATGTGCCTTTGTTACTTAGTATTGCTTTGAGAAACAAATCTGCTATACTTGCATTAAGAAGCATCAGTGGGACTAAGAATGTGGCTTAGTGGTAATGTGCTTGCCTAGTATGCATGAAGCCCTGGGTTTGATTCCTCAGTACCACATAAACAGAAAAGGCTGGAAGTGGTGCTGTTGGCTCAAATGGTAGAGGTCTTGTCTTGAGCACAGAGAGGCTCTGGAATAGAGCCCAGGCCCTGAGTTCAAGCCCCAGGACCAGTTTTAAAAAAAAAAAAGCATCAATGGGAATGTGTTACTTAACCATTTTAAATTTTATTTTCTCAATAGATAGTAATACCTACTTCATAAAGTTGTCATGAAGATGAAATCAGGTAACTAATGAATAGTGCTTGTGTAGTTTAAGCACTCAGTGATATTTTTTATTTAGATGTATGTCATTCCCTTAGCAGTTCTGCCAGATTTGTGCTCCATGGTTCTATGACAGCATAGGCATGAATGAACAGCAAATAATAATATTGACTGTACAAAATATTTCCTACTAAGTAAGCTCTGATTGTGTCCATTTTTAAGTTTGACTTTTTTTAAATTTTTGAACATTTAAAATATCTAATAGGCATGGATGAAGTACAGTGTTCTAGTGATCTAGAATTGGCTTTCCAGCTTCAAAAGCAAGAAGACAGAAAGAGGAAATCTGAGGAATCCAGACAAGAAATGGAAGGATTTCAAAAACTACAGGTATAATGATTAATAGCATTTAGAATATGTTGCTTTGGTAGAGATCTTAGTTCTCCAATATACTTACAAGACTTCAGACTATTATTTTTGTCCTTATCATTAAGCTATTTTTCTCTATGTATAATACAGTTTATAAGAACACAATAAGTACTTATTTTGGCCAAATACAGTATCTGAAAACCTTCACATTAAATCCACAAGGTGTTATTTTAGTCCCTCCTCCTCTTTTACTTTGCAGATGAAGAAATGGGAAGAGATGGTTAAATCATTTGCCAAGGATTAGGTGGTGATATATTCAAATCTATATAATTTGATAGGACAAATTAGGGAACTGATACTCCAAATCTATTTTGATAGCTACTTAGAAATAAAAAAAAAAATTCTGGTACTAGGGTTTGAACTCAGGGCCTGGACACAGTCCCTGTGCTTTACCACTCTACCACTTTGAGTCACAGCTCCTTTTCCAGCCTGTTAGTACTAATTGGAGATCAGAGTCTCAGGGATTTTCTTGCCTGGGCTGGCTTTGAAGGGCAGGTCTCAGCCTTCTGAATAGCTAGGATTACAAGCTTATGTGTCTTCAATCTTAAATTCTTTTTTTTCTTATTTTTTTGTATTAAACTTTAACAATTTCAATTTTAGACATTCTTGTGGGGGGAGTTTGTTAGGGTTTTTTTTTATTGTTTTTTGTCTATTATTTCCTCTGGTACTAGGCCTAGAACTCTGGGTTTCATACTTGATCAGCTTATTCAACTGGCTCACTTGGCTGACACCTTACCACTTGAGCCGGCCCCCAGCCTTGCTTTTTTTGCTGATTATTTTGGAGATGGAATCTCATGATGGACTTTTCTGCCTAGGTTGACTTCAAACTTCAGTCCTCTGGACCTCACCCTTCTGTGCAGCTAGAACAGGCACAAGCCACTAGTACCTGGCTGGGCATTATTGGAATGTACTTTTTGATGATAGATTTGTCTTAGGTGGACAGTAGCAGCTGTTGAACTAAATTGGTAGCACCTTAATGGATATTATTTCCCTTTTCATTTCCTTTTTTTTTTTTTTTTGGTTGGTTATGGGGCCTGAATTCTGGACCTGGCGCTGTCCTTCAGCTCTTCTTCTCAAGGCTAGCACTCTACCACTTGAGCCACAGCGCCACTTCTGCCTTTTTCTGCTTATGTGGTGCTGAGGAATCGAACCCAGAGCCTCATGCATGCAAGACAAGCACTTTACCACTGAGCTACCTTCCCAGTGCCCTCATTTCTAACTCACAAATTTAACATATTTTTTTCTTTTGTGCTACTGCTTATTTGTTTTGTTTTTTGTTTTTGTTTTTTGCCAGTCCTGGGCTTGAACCCAGGGCCTGGACACTGTCCCTGAACTTCTTTTTTGCTCAAGGGTAGCACTCTACCATTTGAGCCACAGCACAACTTCCACCTTTTTTGTTTATGTGGTACTGAGGAGTCAAACCCAGGGCTTCATACATGCTAAGGCTACCACTCTACCACAAAGCCACATTCCCAGCCTACTACTTAGTTTTTAGTGTGTTAATAGGATAGTACAAACAAAAAAGATTTTAATCAATTAAGTTTGACAAGTTGGTATACTTCTCAAAACCTTTAATATACTGAGTGTTAAATATCTCTTCCAGACCTTTTTTGTTTTCATTTTTTGCCACACTTTACTCAAGGTATTGCCACGTAAGACTTGAGCCACACTTTCAGTCCTATTTGCTTTTAGTTTGTTTTTCAAATAAAATGTTGTACTAACTTTGCTCCAGCTGGCCTTAGACTGTGATCTTCCTGTCTCTGCCTACTAAGTAGCAGGAAATGTGGGCATATAGCACTATACCCAGCCTCCAGCTTGTTTAACCTTTAGATCTTTTTTTTTTTCTGACTTTACACATGGATAGTTCCTTGAAATATGGTTTGGAAGATATGATTTAGGATTTCTTACTCGGTGTTGATTTATTTATATGCAAAATATTTTTACCATAATTGAGAGAGAAGAAAATTGGCTTTTGCTAAGGCAAAAATGTTTTTTGAACATTGTCCAAACAAAATGTTTTGAATATTTAAAGAGGTTTATCTTGTACCTTTGCAATTATTTATATCTCAAGAAGCTTTTCCGTAGGTGGTTTTATGCATGCTATGTGAGTTCTTAGTCCAATGTACACAAATGTAAGTTCATTTACTAAACAGTCTGAATGACGATTTAGTAAGCCTTCGCAAACTAACCTCAGAACCAAAGATTGACAAGTTTTCTTAAAAACATCAACATTCAGAATTCTTTTGCCTTTAGAAGAAAGATCGGTTTAGTGTAAGGAAAGCAAGCAGGTTTTTACAAAGAAGTGCTATCATAGTTATAGAAAAATGGTTAATTATTAAGTTAGGGACTTAAAAAATGACATATAAACCATAATATTTCAGAATCAATCTCCAAATATTAAAACTGTAATAAGTTAACATCTCACTGAAGTGCAGGGACATGAAAATTAAGTAATTTGTTTTTATGTCCAAAAGCGACAATATGGTTTAGATAATTCTGGAGGATATAAACAACAGCAGTTACGGCAAATGGAAATAGAAGTAAATAGGGGACGAATGCCTCCATCTGAATTTCATAGAGTAAAAGCTGGCATGATGGAATCACTGGCTCTTGGTATTGATGATGGGCAAACAAAAACTTCTGGTAAGTACTGAAACATCACTACCATCATTTTAATAGTGCAAATGCCGCTGAAGTGATAGAAACAATTAAGCGTGTATGTTTTGATTTTGTTGTTGTTGTTGTTGTTTTGATATTTCTGGGCTTTGAACTCCTAAGTTTGCTAGGCAAGCACTCCACCACTTAGGCTGCACTTCCCACTCTCTAATTTTTATTTTATGTTTTGTCAGTTGTGAGGCTTGAACTGGAGGCCTGGGCGCTGTCTCTGAGCTCTTTTGCTCATATCGCCACTTACAGTTTTTTTAGTAATTCATTGGAGAGAAGAGTCTCATGGGGACTTTTATCCTCTTCCAACCACCATCCTCAGATCTCAGCCTCTTGAGTAGCTAGAATTATAAGTGTGAGCCACATGTGCCCGTCCCTAATTTTTTATTTTTTAAAATATTTTTTGAAGGATCTGTAGACATGTTTTTATAATAAGATAATTTATATTGTGTAATTTGTTACTGGAAATCAATCTTTGAAGTTGAGTGTTTATGATGTTCTAGATTAATGCTATCTAATAGAAATATGATGTGAGCCTCAAGGAGTTTTAAATTTCCTAAAACCATTGAAAACAAATATTTAAAAAGGTAAAAGAAGCTCCTCAACTTGAAGTGAATTGTGTTTTGATAAGCCCATTGTACACCAAAAAAAATATCCTAAATTGAAAGTGCATTTAATATAAATAAACTACTGTACATCATAGCAAGATAGTGTTCTGCAGTGTACTGGTTATTTTTTTTGGGGGGGGGGGCCGGTCATGGGGCCTGAACTCTGGGCCTGGGTGCTGTCCAGCTCTTCAGCTCAAGGCTAGCGCTCTACCACTTGAGCCACAGTGCCTCTTCCGGCTTTTTTCTTTTTTTGCTTATGTGGTACTGAGGAATCGAACCCAGGGCCTCATGCATGCAAGGCAAGCACTCTAACACTGAGCCACCTTCCCAGCCCCCAGTGTACTGGTTATTGACCAGTTATTTTCCCTAGAGTCTGTGGAGCTTGCCTTACTGCATATCCATAACTCAGGAAAGGGTCAGAGATCATGGTTTCTACTGAATGCATATTCCTTTCCTACTACTACTGTAAAGGGAACATCTTACTGAAAAAGTTATGTCAGATTTATAAAAATCAAATTTTAGGAGCTTAAACCCATGATCTCAACTTAATATCAATATTAAGATTGAGATTGCTTAATTGGTTGTGCATTTTTCTAAAATTATTACGTATTTTATACTTTATAGCACATTTCAATTAGACAGGCCACATTATAAATGCTGAATAATAACGTAGCTAGTGGCTACTCTGTTACCCCACAGTTTTGGATGTTAAGAAGTTTGTATATATTCTAGCATTTAACTCGAAATAAATATCCTTTTGTGTACTGTTATAGATTCTGAATGAGGTCATTGCGGCATAGGTTAAATAACTTCCCAAGGCAAGGTGTTACGGCTAGTTATTGACTTCTCTGGATTTATGATCAAGTCTGCTTTGTTCCAAACCAAATTTTTTAGTCTTAATCACATATGTATTTATGTCTGTAAAAATATTCTACATGTATTTAATCTACTCATACATGGACTATAATACTATGTTTAAATATACTGATTCTTGTTTCTATACTTCACTTTTTCTGCTATATCATATTTCCCTAAATGAATTCCATCTTACCTGTTTTCACAGACATAGACCTTTTAAGTTATTTCTAGTTATTTGCTTTTAAATTTACAAAAATTAGGAGTTTCTCTTAATAACTGCATTCAGAACTGAATGCTAAGTTAAAGGGTATGAACACCTTCAACTTAACCAAGTAATTATTTTCCAAAATAATTGCAATCTACATTCACACTAATGTGTGAATAATTATATGTGTGAATTAATACGGGAATACTGAGTGATTTTTTTTTTTGCCATTTAATGGAACATGAGGTGAAACATACTCTATATGTTTCTGAGTGTTTCTGAGTTAGCTGAAAGAAATTACCTATTTGCTAACTCTGTCTCTCTATATTAGCTTGTCTTTATTTTTTATTTCTGGGAGTACTTTAATTGTTCAAGAAACTAATCCTTTGTTAGGTAAATAAATGTAAATACAAGACTACAAGTCTATGATTTGCCTTTAAATGTTGAATGTGCAGTTAATTAGAAGTTAATTTTTTTTCTCTGTTTTACTTTCCCCTCCTTTTAGGTGGGTACATGTGTTTGAGCTCAACCTCACAATTGCCTGTCTTTTTGCTAGAGGTGTGGCTCAAGTGGTAGAACTACTTATTTTGGAGATGGATTCTGGCAGACTTTTCTGCTCTGTTTGGCCTGGAACTGTAATCCTATGGATCTCAGCTTTCTGAATAACTAGAATTACAGACATGAACCACTAGCCTCTGACATATTTTGATTTTTAATTTCACTAGGAATTGTAGGAGGGGTAGGTGGGAAGATAGGAATCTTTTTTTTTTTTCACTTGTAAAAACATTTCTTTTTTTTTTTTTTGTCGGTCGTGGGGCTTGAACTCTGGGCCTGGGCACTGTCCTTCAGTTCTTCAGCTCAAGGCGAGCGCTCTACCACTTGAGCCACAGCACCACTTCCGGTTTTCTAGTGGTTTATTGGAGATAGGAGTCTCACAGTCTCTCCTGCCCAGGCTGGCTTTGAACCGTGATCCTCAGATCTCAGCCTCCTGAGTAGCTAGGATTATAGGCGTGAGCCACCAGCGCCCGGCTGTAAAAACATTTCTAAGGGTTCATTTATTTCAATACCAATTATTGAGCCTTTGTTATCTCTATTTATTTGTAATATCACATATTATATATTTTTATATCCAGGAATCTGTTCTGAAAACTTTTTTTTAACTTCATGGGTTTCCATGTTAAAAAAGTATAATGTGTCACAAGACATTCCAGCTGATTGAAATATGAACCATTAGGGTACAGGGGAAAAAAACATAAAAATGTCTACTTATATTAGTGTTCTATAGTACATTAGTGCATATAGCTTAAAATAAAAATATATAAGAATAAATGGCATTATTCCCCATCTTTTTTATAAACTTCATTGAAATTTAGAAGTGATTGATTTGGTGGCAAAGATTTTTATTATTCTATAAGTTGATTGAAACAACTATCTCTTGGTGTCCATTTATGATATATACTTGCAATTTTGTTTGTATTTTAATAACAAACAAAAGTAAATTAATTTGGAAAATAAAATACTTGATTATGGGAAAATTTTCCCTTAAATCAGTTACATGATGTGATTACTGAGGCAGTTACCCAATAGCAAAGTACTCCTAATTGTATGTAATAAGGATACCTATGTATACCAAAGTTTACATTTGTCCTGCTCTTTACTCACAACATTTAGAACTCAGTTGTAAACATTTTAATTTTCTTTTTCTTTAAGTGCAAGTCTATTTTTCTCAGTTTTTTGGAAATGGTTAAAATGATCTGTATTTCTGTTCTTTATATACTAAGCATGACAACTACTATAGGTTCCTTTTGACTAATTTATTCACCTTTTATCTACCTTCTTAAAGACCAAAACAAAAAAAAAAAAAAAAACCACTTTTCTTATCCCCTTCATCCAAGTTTAAAATAGTGATTTTCCTTTTTGGTACACCACATTATGAGAAAGAATGGCCTACATAAGACTACCGATAGGCCTTCACAGAATCTACGGAGTAAATAAAATATACACAAGGAGCTAGAATATTCTAATATGTCAGAATGTAATCTGGAAGTACTAGGAGTCACAAAGAATAAATGCAGTGATTGTTCAGAAAAAGGACCTCTGAAGGCAAGAGTATTTGATCCTTTAAGGATCTTATGTGTAGGATTCTAACTATAAGGTGATTGTTCTAATTGGAGGAAAGGGACAAAATCAGGTATATCATTTTTTTCCCACCTGCACTAGGAATTGAAGGCCTTGTGCATACTCGCTCACTTGCTTGATAGCTGGCTGGCTACTGGCTAGCAGTGTGGTTATGATGCCTCTGGCCTACCTTTTTTTTTTTTTTGTAATTGTTTGTTTGTTTGTTTGTCATGGGACCTGAACTCTGGGTCTGGGCGCTGTCCTTCAGCTCTTCATCTCAAGGCTAGCACTGTACCATTTGAGCCACAGTGCTACTTCTGGCTTTTTTCTGCTTATGTGATGCTGAGGAATCGAACTCAGGGCCTCATGCATGTGAGGCAAGCACTCTACCACTGAGCCACCTTCCCGTGGCCTACCTTCTTGCTTATTTTAGAGAGAGTTTCACAAACTCTTCTGCCCAGGCTGGCTTCAAACAGTGATCCTGCAGATTTCAGCCACCTGAAAAACTAGGATTACAGACATCATCTCCAGACTCTTGGGATGAATATTGTCTTAATAACATTTATTTATCCATGTTATAACACTTGCAGTCTGGGTTCATGAGATTTCAAGTATTGTCACAGTTGTCTTTTTGTGTTCAGTGTTTGTTTTAGTACAAGATATGTACAAAGTGAAAGACTAGAACTGAATTAAAATACCATGGGCAAAATTTGATTGTTCAGTTAGACCAGAGTCAAGATTATGGCAAGAATAGTGATCTAAAATAAAGTTAAGGTTGAGGCTAGCTTGCTGTATAATTTCATATACCATAGATTGATACAGTCCCATGAGGTTTGCAATACTGGGGAATAACAGCTAAGGACCTTGTGCATGCTAGCTCAGGACACTGCTTATGAGCTACATGTCCACTCTTGTCTTTTGTTTGGAAGCAAATTGATCAGAATTGAGTGATTTCTGAGTGGTACCATGTATAGCAAATCAGAAATGAGGGCATGCATTTAGCAGTTGTACTTCCCTTTGCCACGTCCTACAGATACTGAGGTAATTTAATTTTATTTCAGTGTACCCAATAACACATCAGCAATAGGAAACTTGGATTATAACAAGAACATAAACTTGAGGGTTATATCAGAAAGAAGATTAAAAAAATGGATGGAGTGATAGGATTTAGCTGTAGAGCTGGAGGTTGATGTTAGAAATATATAATATAGCTCTTTCTAAATCCTCTTAATTTCTTTTCTATTTTAGGGATTATTGAAGCTCTTCATAGATACTATCAGAACATTGCCACAGATGTGAGGCATGTGTGGCTTTCTGCAGTGGTGGATCATTTTCATTCATCTTTAGGTGACAAAGGTTGGGGATGTGGTTATAGAAACTTCCAGATGCTACTTTCATCATTATTACAAGATGATACTTTTGATGATTGCTTGAAAGGTATGCGAAATATGGTACTCGGAACTGAACAAACGATAATATCTGTGATAAGGAGTGAATTAATGCATAGCCTGAATAATGAATAGCTTTAACAAAGAAGCATTGTAGTGAAAATTTATATAAAAAAAACTAGAATTCTGGTTGGAAGGCAAGACATACTGGAAGATAACAGAAATGACTGAAAAACTAGTATAGGATCCTCTAATATAGGATATACTAGCAAACAAAATCATTAAGTGACTTGAAACAGCCTTATAACTTGTTTTTATATAATTTTAGGTATGTCTATTCCTTGCATTCCAAAAATTCAGGCAATGATTGAAGATGCGTGGAAGGAAGGTTTTGATCCTCAAGGAGCCTCTCAACTCAATAACAGGTTACAGGGAACAAAGGCTTGGATCGGAGCATGTGAAATATACACACTTCTGACCTCCCTGAGGGTGAAGTATGTACCTAGAAAGCCTCGTTAATGTTGCTGCCATAGCAGGGAACTTCTTTTGTTTTTGTAAACTTTTTTTTTTTAAACAAAGGAACAATTTAAGGATGAAATTAGATAGCATTAAAAGGAGTAAAACCCAGCAACTTATTTTCTATCTCATGCTTTCTCTACTGCCAAGTCCTGTTTTTCAGAGGCAACCATTATTTACCTTTTTCTTTTTTCTTCTTTAAGAAAAACAAATTAAAAAGTGAGTGTATTTAACTATATTCAGCTCATAATAGAGCCAGTGAGTGAAGAGAATAATGATCATGCTGATTATTGAACTGGTATGAACTGGCAATAAAGAAAGTTGGTCCAAGGAAGGTAGTAGAACTGTGTCTTGTAAGAATTAGAACTGAGGGGCTGCATAATCCTCGGACCTCCACTTGATGTTGTATCTGTGTACACGATAGGAACTCTAGGGATTTTTCAGATTCTGCCTTTAAGGTCACAGTCAGCTGTAGCCACAGTGTAACATTTGTGCTGGGTTGCTCTTTGAACTAAGCAGTCATCTGCATAGGTTCCTTTGTGTGTACATGGTCATCGTTCAAATTGTTGATCCTTGACTATTAGAACCACTCGATACTTCTGCCCCAGTTTCTCAGTTTCAGACATTACACAGTCCGTTATGCAAGGGATAGATACACTTGGCATACAGACAATCCATCATTGACTGTACTAAGTCCAGTTTGCCTTTAATGGAAAAGTTGATAAAGTTGCTATTAACCAGGATGTGGTAAGGTGGGCCCAGCTGTGTATTATATTGGAAAAATAAGCAGGAAGGATGTTTGGGGAACTTCTCTTTCCTTTAGTACATTAGGATCCTTTTTTTCTTTTTTAGGCTTTAACCTATCCTTTAAGTTTTTCATCTCTCAGACTAAGTATTCTTTTCATGGTCGCATACTTCCTTGTTTTCTTTTGCTTCCCCATATTCTCACCGCACTCTTGTCTGTTCCGGAATCATTGTCCATACGACCCTTTTGGTTTTTTTATGTGATACTGGATTTTGACCTCATTTTCGTGCTTGTTGGGAAAGTACAACTTGACCCAAGCTCCCACCTTTTTCTACCTCTAGGTTATTTTTCAGATCAGATCTTTCCCTTTTTTCCCGGGCTAGACTCAACTGCAAGTATCTCTTTAGCTATTCAAGGAGATGTTTATATGTTAGAAAAAAAATGTAACCATTAAATCAACCATCAAGCTCTTGGTTATTTAAATATATCTTCTAAGAAAATGGCAGTTTTCCAAATAGACAATAAAATTTTAATTTTTTCTTTGTTCTTTCTTTGTATATTAGATCATTATATTGATGAAAATATTTTCAAAGTACACTGTCAGTAATCCATTTTTGTCGATTCTTTATAGGTGCCGTATTATTGATTTCCACAAGCCAACTGGTCCCTTGGGTACACATCCTCGCTTGTTTGAATGGATATTGAACTATTATTCTTCAGAGAGGGAAGGGGATTCAAAGGTCGTATGTACATCTAAACCTCCTATCTATCTACAACATCAAGGTGAGTGTAACTCATAGCTAGTGGAATTAATTTATAAGACAACAAATCATCTGTTGCTTTAAGTCAGATTAAGAGATTAGAACTGAGCTGGGAGTACTGTGACGTACTCTGATTTCCAGAGCTACTTTGTCATTTCAGTACATTTTCGGGTAATGAATGATGGTATTCCTGGCTTCTAGAGGGCCTTTGTCTTCTTTCGTGGTTCATACTTTACTTCCTTCAAGTCTTTATCCAGAAGTCACTAAGATGAAGCCCTCCCCACCAGCCGTCTCCTTATATAAAAGCACAGCTCTACCCCAGACTGTCACCACTGGTATTTCCTTTACTTGTTTATCTTGTTTATAGAGGGTCTCTTTCTATTAGAATAGAAGCTCTATGAAGACAGGCACATTTGTCTGTCTTGTTTGCTGATAAATAACTTACTACTGGGATAGTGCCTGGAATGCAGATATTTAACAAATACTGTTGAATGGATGGTCTGAACTGACAGAAATAAAGTGAAACAATCACTGTTGAGGGTATGGAACATAAAGATGAAGTTCTCTATTCTGCTATTCTAGTATATTTAACTTCATTTTGTTCACCTTTTGTTTTATGCTAGGTAAATATCTAGTCCTTTCCTTTGATATTATTTCAATGAGAAATTGGGAAAGGAAAAGTGACATGTGGTAAAATAGCTGCAGAATTTTTTGTAATGGAGTCTTTAAAAATCTAAAAGTAAGCAAAAAAGTGAAAGGAAGTAGAACGAATCATTTGTTTTAAGAGATCTCAGATACATAAACATCAGAAACTAACAATGTTTATATTCTAAATGCACTTCCATATATCCACATGCTGTATAGAGTAATTATACCAGAATAATTATACAATATTTGTGTGTATAGCATAGATATTATATATATATATGCATATATGTGTGTGTATTATATATTATGTTTTCACAGGTCATAGTCGAACAGTTGTTGGAATTGAAGAGAGAAAAAATCGAACATTATGTTTACTGATATTTGATCCTGGATGTCCTTCTCCAGAAATGCAGAAATTATTAAAACAAGATATAGAGGCTAGCAGTCTCAAACAGCTTCGGAAGTTTGTGGGAAATTTAAAACACAAGCAATATCAAATAGTGGCAGTAGAGGGTGCTCTTTCCCCTGAGGAGAAAATTGTAAGTATCTCAGTATGGGAAGCTTGAGTGGGCCAAATATTATTTTTTATTTATTTTTGTTTATTTATTTTTTTTGGTCTGTCGTGAGGTCTGAATCTGGGCCTGGGTGCTGTCCCTCAGCTGTTCAGCTCCAGACTAGTGCTCTACCACTTGAGCCACAGCACCACTTCCAGCTTTTTCTGTTTATGTGGTACTGAGGAATCAAAGCCAGGGCCTCATGCATGCAAGGCAAGCACTCTACCACTGAGCCACCTTCCCAGCCCCTATTTTTTTTTGGGGGGTCCGGCCGTGGGGCTTGAACTCTGGGCCTGGGTGCTTTCCCTCAGCTCTTCAGCTCAAGGCTAGTGCTCTACCACTTGAGCCACAGCAC